TGCCTACCCCATGGGGCCACATTCTCATAGAACCCCACTCTCACCTACACACAGCTGACTCCTGCTGAGTGCCTACCCCATGGGGCCACATTCCATTGTCCAGTCTAGCACTGACTACTGACTCCACCTTGCTTGCTTCTATCGAGAATGTTTCTCCTGCCAGATTTGGCGGGTGAAGACAACAGTGCACAAAACAGGAGAAACAAACACTGATGGTGTGGTCTGGATGTCCCCAGCTCTAAGCGCTACTAGTGTCTAATAGTGTCTAATAGCAGACACTATTTCCTGCACTTTCCTGAGAATGTATCTTCACTATAAAGGTGGAGAAACTGAGACATATGTGAATGAGTCTGGGAAAGAGCTCTCAGGATTTAACCCTTGCCCACCGTCTATAAGAGGCCTGAAGTTGTCACCTCCAGTGAGGACACTGAGAGCCTAGTGGTGCCTGATGTGCCACCCTGATACATGGCCTGCCTGGTCAATGGTCCATTGCCAGCTCTGTTTTGGCTATGGATTACAGGTGAGGTAGTGACCCCCCATGCCTACATTAAGATATTACTATCTTTGGGTTGACAAGATGGTCAGCAGTCCTAAGCTTCTGCAGCAAGCTTGCTTGGTCCACTGACCATCTCACTAGCCCAATAAAGGAGAGAATCAATTCCCAAAAGGTGACTGACTTCCACATGCACATGCAGAAACACATACACACACACAACACCACACACACCATACACACACCACCACCACACACACATACACACATGGTGCGGGACAATTCTGTATTCTGTCAATTACATTTTAAATAAACGCTGATTGGCCGATAGCCAACCAGATAGGAATTAGAGGTGGGGCAATGAGAACAGGAGTATTCTGGGAAGAAGGAAGCTCTTCCCCCCCAGTCCTGCCCAGATCATCGAAGAAGCAGAATGTGACCTGCCTCGCTGAAAAAGGTACTGAGCCATGTGGCTAAAATAGATAAGAATAATGGGTTAATATAAGCTACAAGAGCTAATAAGAAGCCTGAGCTAATGCGTCAATCAGTTTATAATCTTATGGAGACCTCTGTGTCATTGGGACTTGCCGGCTGTGTGAACTGGGCAGGACAGAAACTCCAACAAAGCAGGTCCACATGCTACACACACACACTACCACACACACCACCACCACACACACACAAACACACACATACACACACCA